TGTTCTAGTTTGTTTTGTAAGTGTCATTTTATTATTTGGATGTGACAAGAATAATATAACCACATGCACATATATATTATAAAATTATTTAGCTTAACACCAAGCATCTCTGTGGGTCAAATCGAGTGTGTGCCCGATTCCACAGAGAATATTACTATGTTAGCATTAAGCCTAACCCTCGTAGTGTATCTATAATTTAAGTGCATATTACTGTATATAATATTGAAAAATAAATATAAATTGTTGCTAAATTGTTCCCGTCCGATCACCGAAGCTAAGCAGCGTCGGGCGCGGTTAGTACTTGGATGGGTGACCGCTTGGGAACACCGCGTGTCGTTAGCTTTTTGCTAGTCATTTTTAGTTTCTTCATTACAGTTCATTTCAACGGTTGCTGTCCTGACACCAAAGTTGTCGGTAACGACCATACCACGCTGAGAGCGCCGGTTCCCGTCCAACGCTGCTGTTCATACAGGAGAAAAATGATTATGATAAAATCAAATTGACGTCGAGTTCCACACATACACCCCAAAATCGGCAAAACAGCATGCTTTCGTGATCAGAGGTCTAGATTATCAACCCAGTCTAGATGAGCTGAAAGCAGAATTGGAGACCCAACACAAAATGGAAGTCTTCAATCTGTATAAAATGAAGACAAATGGGAGGACTTTATATTTGCTGGTCACAAGCAACCAAGTGACACTGAAACACCTCAATGCCAACGTGAGGTTTCTTTTGAACACTAGGGTTTACTGGGAAAGGCGACGAAACGAGCGCCCAGTGATTCAATGCAGGAGATGCCAAAGACACGGGCATGCGACTGCAAACTGCCAAAGGCAACCGCGATGTCTCAAATGTGCAGAAGAACACTGGACAAACGCCTGCACAAAAAGTAGGGAGACACCAGCAAAATGTGCTAACTGTCAAGGGCCACATCCAGCAAATTATTCAGGCTGTCCTGAATACAAGAAAAAAGTAGGAGCCGTGGATGAAAAACGAACAATGGCCAAACAACAGTTCAAGCCAGCACCTCTACCCGCTGAAAATGCCTGGAGCAAACGCAGCAATAGCCATCAAAGCCAGAAGATAGTGGATCCACAGGAGTACCCACCACTGCCGAGGAGAGCGGAAGCAACAAGGACTGAAACGCCAAGTGAACGTGTCACTATTCCTGAGACAACAGAAGGCATCGGACTCTTCACAAGGATATCCGATGAAGTGAAAGAACTGAATAAATTGGTTAACTTGAAAGGTCTTCTAGATGCCTTCAAGGACCTCAACCGCCTCCTTGGAACTGCTAATTCCTCGCAGGAAAAATTCACAACTTTCATAGAATTTGTCCAGGGGCTAGATAAGTATAGTATTTAAGATAAATAATATCCATATAGCTTACATCAATATTAATGGCCTTAATAATAAAAAGGCCGAATTTGTAAATTTTGTATTACACCATCGGCTCGATATTGTTGCGGTTTCTGAAACTCAATTCAGAGATCGCGACCGTATAAGGCTCCGAGGATATAACCAGATAAGAAAGGATAGACCGATAAACCCAAACATCACAAGAGCGAAAGCCGGAGGTGGTCTTATAATGTTCATTAAAAATGGTATCAGCTACACTGAAGTAAAATTTCAAAGTATTTCGTTTGAATATGTGGCCATCAAACTAGACAGTGGACTAGTACTGACGGCGATGTATAAGCCACCAAACATACGAATTAACGATCAGGAATTAGATAGGATATTCAATCACCATCAGAAAGTCATAATAATGGGGGATTTTAATTGTAGACATGTACATTGGGGGAACACTAGCAATAATTACAATGGTTCAATACTGAACAACTACCTTGAAAGTAGAAGCAATGTTGTACTTTTTTATCCAGATAGCCCGACACATTTTCCATTTAATGGTAGCACCCCATCAGTTTTAGATATAGTTTTAAACAAAAATTGTGAAAATTTATCAGAAGTAACCACTTTAAATGAACTTTCATCTGATCATAACCCAATAAGCTTCCAAATAAAATACAAAATTAATAGAGATTCAAAAACTGTGTGGAATTATCGAAATGCAGACTGGAGATCTTTCAAATATCACTTAGACAAATATATTGAAATCAAATTTATAAAGACACGCGAAGATTTAGACGAAGCCACTGAAAATTTTGTAAAAGCTATCCAAACTAGTAGAACTTGTGCAGTAGGAAGAACGACAATACATGAGGACTTTGACAATATATCAGATGGAATTAAAGTTAAAATCAAAATCAGAAACAGCATCAGGAAAATATGGCAAAAATACCAAAATACCGAAGACAAAGAACTACTTTTACAATTATCTAGGGAAATAAACTCTGACATCATAAATGAACGATCACAAAAATGGGAAAACCGTCTCAGAAATATAGCAAAAGGTGACAAGGATATTTGGAAGATCTCTAGGCAGCTTAAAAATGCAGGTAAACAATTTCAGCTACCCGCCCTTCAGGCTGAAGGTAACTTTTACTTAACCGATAAAGATAAAGGCAATTGTCTAGGCAAAAATCTGGAAAAAAGATGGACAACATTGCCTGACACAATCGAAGAACATTATAAAACCACCCGAAAAGTCTGTGAGCTTAGAGTAAATAGGTACACTAAAATTCATAAACACGTTTTAAGAAATCTTACCGTTTCACCCAAGCAGGTATTAAATGAAATATCCCGGCTTGCTAACAATAAAGCTCCGGGTGAAGACGGTATTGATAAAATAACACTAAAACATCTGTCTAACAAAGCCATTACACAGTTTACAAACATTATTAATGCAGTAATCCGATTACAGTATTACCCAGAACCATTGAAAAAGGCAATAATATGCCCTATACTAAAACCCAACAAAAATCCCCTTCTACCTGATTCTTATCGACCTATTTCACTATTAAGTACTATCGCCAAAGTGATAGATCGTTTCATATTATGCGTATTACTTAAAGAAGAAGAAAAACTCAAAATATTACCTAGCGAACAATTTGGGTTCCGAGCAGGCCACGGGACAATGGGCCAAATAGCTAGAGTAATGCACCATATCCAGGAAGGGTTCAATGATGGTAAAAGTACAGTAATGGCTTTGTTAGATATAGAAAAAGCATTTGATAAAGTTTGGACAGACAAACTAATAGAAAAGTTAGCAGACTTCGGGTTTCCCTCATATCTAGTAAATCTAATCGACTCATACTTGTCCTCAAGAAAGTTTTCTATGAGAATTAACAACAATAATTACGGGAGCTTTAATATGAACGCAGGTGTTCCGCAAGGGTCTTCATTATCACCGGTACTCTTTATTCTGTTTATATCAGACCTACCAAAATTTGAAAAAACCAACACTACCCTGTACGCCGATGATACCTGTATTTATGCTTCAGCAGTTCAATCTGAGGTAGCATGTAGACAGGTAGATATTCACATCAACAGAAAAATCATTCCGTTTTTCGAACAAAATAAAGTAACTATAAATGCAGATAAAACCGAAGTTCTAAATTGTACAGTTAATTTTGCAAGACATAAAATCAAAATCTTTAGGCCCCTCACAGTGAAAAACGCAAAAATTCAGGAAAGTAAAACCGCTAGATACCTGGGAATTACGATAGATAAACGACTGACATTTCAAAACCACATCAAGACGATACGTATGAAAGCTAACGGTATGCTGAAGACCCTTTACCCGTTAATATGCCCAACTAGTAAACTTCATATGCCCATTAAGCTACTAATATATAAACAGGTTATTAGGCCTGTGCTCCTTTATGGCTGTGAGGTTTACAGTTCAGCATCAAACACACAACTTAGTTTTCTCCAAAGGATAGAAAACAAGTTTTTGAGGATAATTATGAGTGCAGCCCGTAGAGACACCAATCATCAGATAAAACAAAATCTAATGCGACAGGACACCAGATTCAAAACTATTTTACAGGTCATTAAAGCACAAACCGAGAAATTTTACTCCCACACAATAGAGAAATGTCCACTGATTGCTAATATACCCCAATCACATCTGGATGGTAAAATCAGAAAGCATGGGCTAATTTATCGGTATATTCTCTCGGAATCTCTGTAATGTAAATATGTACCATAATTTAAATGTAAATATGTATATATGTAAATACCCCTTTGTTTCAAATTTCTAATTTTTTAGTACAGGTTTTGAGTATATTTCCTGTAAATACACTTCTCAACCAAACCCCGGACAAAATCTATGAATATTGAATTTTTTGGACTTTCCTTTGTTCTAGTTTGTTTTGTAAGTGTCATTTTATTATTTGGATGTGACAAGAATAATATAACCACATGCACATATATATTATAAAATTATTTAGCTTAACACCAAGCATCTCTGTGGGTCAAATCGAGTGTGTGCCCGATTCCACAGAGAATATTACTATGTTAGCATTAAGCCTAACCCTCGTAGTGTATATATAATTTAAGTGCATATTACTGTACATAATATTGAAAAATAAATATAAATTGTTGCTAAAAAAAAAAAAAAAAAATTGTTGTTCCCGTGCGATCACCGAAGCTAAGCAGCGTCGGGCGCGGTTAGTACTTGGATGGGTGACCGCTTGGGAACACCGCGTGTCGTTAGCTTTTTGCTAGTTATTTTTAGTTTCTTCATTACAGTTCATTTCAACGGTTGCTGTCCTGACACCAAAGTTGTCGGTAACGACCATACCACGTTGAGAGCGCCGGTTCCCGTCCGATCACCGAAGCTAAGCAGCGTCGGGCGCGGTTAGTACTTGGATGGGTGACCGCTTGGGAACACCGCGTGTCGTTAGCTTTTTGCTAGTTATTTTTAGTTTCTTCATTACAGTTTATTTCAACGGTTGCTGTCCTGACACCAAAATTGTCGGTAACGACCATACCACGCTGAGAGCGCCGGTTCCCGTCCGAATACCGTTTGCCGTTAGTTTTTTTTCAAATTTTTCAACATACCGTTTGACTGAAGACTATGTTTTTTGTTACAGGCGTCCAAGCTTGTTCATATCCAGGCACCACAATCAGCGGACGAATGTCAGCAGTGAAATTTTTCTACAAAATTGGAGAAAACATTACGTTTACGTGCGAAGAAGGCCTAGTACTGAAGGGCGCTTCTATTTTGAAGTGCCTCAAAAACGGCAAATGGTCTAATACAATACCGGCATGTGTTGAAGAAAATTCTGTCAAACGAGCCGAAAGATCCATCTAATAAGCACCCATAACAGACGTAGATTAGTTTTTAGCAATTTTCTCTCATGATGGTCCAAGAATGGACCAACATTTAAAAAAATCCATAGATACATAGCAGCTCAGTGATCAAAACGTATCAATCATAGCTAATAGTTCTTTATAACATTACTATCAGTAGGATTTTAGATTTAACACGATCTAAACTATGATTCCTAAAAATGTTATTCTACCTCGAATCTATTACAGGATCAGAATTGTTTCATGATCCTATAACAAAATCAATGGGTAATTGGACCTATCGTTCTCTTCTTCCTTTATTTTACTTGGTCTTGATCTTCTTAGTACAAAGTGAAAGCAATCTATAATTATAGTATAATTATAGTAGTCTACAGTGAGGCCATTAACAAAAAAAATTGGTTCTCTTATATAATCAAACCTTTTACGATATACGGCTTAGTGCAACTCTTTGAGATCTAATCTATAGCTGTTTAGTTATAATATGCCGGTGCCTCGCAAATAAAATGTTTGGAAGGCGGCAATAACTTGCTCATTTTTAAAATCTATACACTTCTTACATATCTTTTATAATTCCTACGATATCATAAGTAGAAGTAGTTTCTTATGAATATCTTGAAATCAAAATGTTGAGATGTATATCAAAGCTGGATCAGTGTGAAAGTTCATTTTTTGATTTAAGAAAAAATACAAACTTAATAGAATATTCATTACTATCAACATATTTGTAAATTCGGCGGGTTTAATTTTTTGAATATCATTCCTTCCAAATGTTTGCTATCCCTTCGGTCAGTTCCGGAATGATATTGTTTCTCGTCGAATGTTGTCTTTAAGCTCTTCCTCTGTTCGTGAATGGTTGGAATACACCTTTAAACTTTAGATAACCCCACAAAAAATAATCGCATGGCGTGAGGTCGGGTGACCTAGGAGGCCAGTGAATGTCTTCAAACCTCGATATACGAGTAGCTTTTTAAGGTGCTTTCACCGTGTCTACCGATTATCTGGAAGTATGGGCAGTGGCCCCATCCTGTTGAAACCATGAGTTTCTGTTAAATCGACGTTCTGTTCATAGAATAGTAGCAAATAAAGTGTCAATCATGTCCTTGTATCGCTCGGAATTGACTGTCAATGCATGACCGAATCACGTCTAACGTTCCAGTGTGACTATTTAATCCCCATGACCTCTCCCCACTCCGTCGTGTATACGGTTACCGCGTAATTCAAATTTGAAATGTGAACTTTCCCACTGATTTCAACTAGCAGTTTGTAGTTTTTAAGGTTTTTTGAGCATCGGTGTTGTTGGAAACGAAAAAGAACAAGGCATGCTCTTTTTCGTTTCCCCTACGGTCTATGATAGAGTGAGACAGATTCATCGTTTGTTATTTCTGAAAGTATTTTTATTGAAAACATGTTTATAGAATGTAACAACTTCTTGGGTATGATCATATCTAGTAATACCAAAGAATACAGAGTTACCAGTAGAAGAACCACTCCTGTCAAAAACAAGCTCTGCCGCGGTGGCTGAGATAATTCTAGCGGAAAAATCGTTTTTTGCACAATCTCAATAAAAATGAAAAACAATTTTTTAAGCAATTTTCCAGATTGCAGATTCATTAAAAGGGGTCTTTTGTAAAGAAGTCACGCGAAAAAACGAAAGCAGATGCGAAGATACTTCCTGTACTAGATAGTCATGGCCGGCATCCGATCCCGTCAGAAGTGAGTCGCGTGGTTGTTGGATGTGTACAGGGCGATTCACTATGACAACTTGGTGGAGAATGAATGAATGCATCTTGAAATTAGAGGCATTCCGGTCACGGTAAGGAGCCAGTGCATAGGCCGCTTTTAGCGAAGTTGAGAATCGCTTTGAGTCCAAGCTCCTTGACGTCCTGAGGGTCCAAAGTAATGGACCCCAGTATAGTCTGCCTATAGTAGCTCAGAGCTTCACAGCGACACAAAACGTGCGCCGAGGTCTCTTCCTCTACCCCGCAGCATTCACACAAGGGATCCTCAGCCACCTCCAACACGTGCAGGTGACGCCTTAACGTGTTATGGCCAGACAACAGTCCCACCAGCTACTTTAGGTTGGCTCTATCCAGAGATAGGCAGAAGCGTCCATCCTTAGCACTGGACCCTTCAATGAGTTCCCGTGCCTGGCGGAGATGTCTGGAGATACCTCTCCATTTCTAAGAGTGTTGTCTTGCAACCCACGTCTCCATTTTCCTCCTAGCTTTATGCGCGGTCACTCCTAGAGCTGGCTCAAGACCAACGAAAATAGTGGTGCATCCACCGAGAGGCTGAGATAGCCTAGTTCTAGGCCCAGAGACCCCAGCACCTGAGCCTCTTCGGTGACCGAGCCGTCCGTGTACCAGACCTGCCCGCTCACTTCGGAGAGTCCCCGGCTACCGGCGTCCCACTCCTCCCTCGTTGGATACTTCACAATAAACTTGCGGTTGAAGCGATATTTAGGGGTAATACGATCACCCCTGCTTAGAACGACGGGGTCCTCCCTTTGCAATTCGACTAACATGGAAGTATGCCCCTTGACAGGATTCAAGAAAGCCCAGCTGCCCTGACTCCACAGTCGATGAGCGACTACTCTCGCTTCACCGCGGATCACCAGATCCAACGGTGGTAGATCCAACAGAGCTTCCATTGCACTCAATGGCGTTGTTCGCACTGCGATTGTAATACGAATACAAGCAAAGGAGAAAATCATGTTTTGTTGACTTGCTAATGATTTTAGGAAAGTATTGGTATTCCAGCATATTCGGAATCCGTTTTTCACATGCAGGAACTCAGGGCAAGATATAATTGACGAAGGAGTTCTATCCAAAATTGAGTGTACCAATGTCAAAAACGCGATATCACAGAAATGTGATGTGTAGTTTTACTTGTAATAGCGAAAATTTCCAAAATAATCCATGATCAGTGATAGTGCCTTTTCGGAGCTTCGATAAATAGGTTTCGGAATTGGAGGACATTTTTACAAATATCCTGGTTGAGCTCGTCTGTATAGACAACGTAGGAAAACGACTGAAAACTGAAGTCTTGGTTTTCAGTTTCAGTCACCATTGTGAACAGTTTTTTTATCATTTTCCTTCATTTTATACGCAAGTCGGCATTTATTTTCAATATCGAATATGTAAACCGTGATATAGTCACTATTAGGGCAAATAAAGTTAATCCTGAATTGAATTAAATCATCTATAGATTTATCGAAATAAGACAGAACAAAGTGCCATCTGTTACCAAAATCGACCACTGCGAAAGTAAAAAAAAATCGCAATGCAGTGTGATTCATACCATATCGTTTGAAGTTTCCTAGTCTCATTTCATTCACTTTATTTTCTATTCCAGTTTTTCACCTAACTACAGATCAATGATATGAATCACCCTGTATATAAATACAATTACTTGATACCATTATCAATAATTTTTGACAACACATGCTGTACGTGCACCAAAGTATGACAGCACTACCTTCTATAAAGCAAAAAAGTGCGAGACCTCTCTAAGTGAGGCATCTAATAAAGGGATCCGAGTTCTTAGAAAAATGTCGGAATTTTTAGAGGGCAGAAGTTCAAAGGCTTTTTCGCGAGTGCCTCTGCTAGTTACTGGTAACTCCGTATTCTTAGGTAATACGATCTACTAAATTGTACTTTAAATGCTTAATAAAGTTCGTAAGTTATGAAATGTGGTTTTAATAATTTTTTTTTGGGGGGACAATTAAAAATCAGGTGTATAAAACTACGTCAGCTACTCGCGAAAAACTGGGCAATAAAGTAAGGGCGACATTCCAGAACATCACTGCGGAACAGTTAATCAATGTGGTGCAAGCAACAATTGATAGAGTTGAACTTTGCCGTAATCAAGGAGGAGGCCATTTTGAAAACTTAGAACCTTAATGGCACACTTTTAAATTTTATTTTTTGTTATAATAATGATAATATGTATTTAATGCATTTGTATAGTTTACTCCAACATAGGCAACTCGCCTATTTCTTTTCTTCACTGACGATAAAGTTATTCGCATTTTCTTCTGGCTCGTTGCACATTTTTTATTTCGAAAGCTACATATTCAATTGTTTATCGCGGATAACGAGAATAATAGGAATAAGTGCCTAAACTGAATCCAAATTCAAGATGAGATGTAAATAATAACAGTTAGCGCGTGATCTCTCGGTAACAGCTGGGGACAACGCCTCTTATTGGTCAATTCGCCATTAAATTTCAAGCGGTCGCATGGCGGAATAATGCGCGGGGCAGGGGCAGGGCAGGCAGAGTTGCATTCAGGCCACCGACCATCGCGTGTATCACTGCGTGCTCGTGTTTTCGTATTCACCTTGCTTAGCGTAGCCCTGAATGCGGCCCTGTACGCCATCCTTGCTTTTGGCAATCACGCATCCATTCTATCTTGGGTGTAAATACACTATAGGTATACCGAATGCAGATACAAATTATTTGTTGTTAGGTATGATCGTTACTTACAATTATTCAGAAAAAACTGAAAATAAAATAAGAGTGTGTAGTGTCAAATCATTCGTAAAAAAATGGTCTCTTAGAAAAAGCCAACAAGCCTCACCTTTCTATTTGAAAAATCAAGTAAACTGAAAAAATTAATATTTGTAACTTCAATACGATGTTCATCTCAAAATCGTATTTTCCCGTGTTACTTGATCAAAAATGAAGCGATTGATTTACCATCGAAGGCATCCTAGATCGAAAAATAAAAATTGAAACAAAAATGACTGTCAAATATTGACAAGTGAGGCGCTGTTGAGTTCAGAATGTCTTTCTCGATCGAATTAAGTAAAAATATATAGGGTGTCCCATTTAAAAATCGAAAGTTGGAGTTGTCTCCGGTCAATCCGGAAGCACGTCAAAGAAAAGAATATGTCAAAAAATGTTAATACGCAACCCCAATTTCATTTTTCTATCTTCAATAATAAAAATATTATAGGGGTGAGCCACCTTGGAGAATCGCACGGTATATTGTCAGAGTGGAGACTACGCCTGTAGTCTCCCTGAACCTACGCCCCAATTAGATTTTGCAACAATTCAGCAGGTACCGATAGTCAAAAGTGTCACAACCCTTTACGCTTACAACCTGTCTGCGAGGCAATTTTGCCGGTAGCCGTCCTGAACAAACTCGCTAGATCCGTGCCGCAATTTTCTTTCGCAACAGTTTAGCAGGTAAGGTTAATCAACAGCCATCCCGCTGCGTCACTGCCCTTTGCCCAGCGAGGCGACTTCGCCTATAGTCTCCCTGAATCTACACCCCAGTTAGCTTTTGCAACAATTCAGCAGTAACAAAAAGCCCGTTACGCTTCTATCCTAACTGCCAGGCAACCTCGCCAATAGTGGCAAGCGAGAGTCTGTCATTCATGCGCCCTGCCACCCCTGCCCTTCCGCCCTTCCCCCACCTCTTGTCGTCGTAGCAGCCCCCACCACGCAGCACATCGCTTGCATCGCTATGTCGTTGACTCTATCTCACTTTTGTTGGTAGACCAGTTAACATAGCTGCTAGGCCGAATATCCACGATCAGTATTTACTGAAAAAGATTATACAGGGTGTTTCACAACTTATAAGAAGTTGATTTCTCAAAAAAAATGTAATAAAAGTCCTACAGAAATTAAGTTATAAGCCTGTGGAAGAAAATCCGGGAATAAACACAAGGCAGTTAGCCCAACAGATCCCAGAAGTGTCACATGCAACAGCGTGGCGCATATTACATGAGGCCCAGCTGAACCCTCCAGAGAGTCCAGGCGTTGCTACCTGAAGACTACCGCCTAAGAGTAAGATTTTGTGAGTGTTTGTTGCAAGAAAATGCTCGAAATGCTCCTTTTACAGCTGATATTACACACGTTTGGTCCTTTGTGAACCCTCACGCAGTGGTCCAGACACACTTCCAACATCGTTTTTCTTTAAACGATGAACGTCTAATTGTACCGTTCATTTTGCCAGATCGGATGGATGGTCACCAGTATTTGGAATTTCTTCGGAATGATCTGCCGGTCCTTCTTGAAGATGTATCATTGGCGGTCCGAGCACGGATGTGGTTTCTGCATAATGGGGCACCTCTGCAATTTTCGTTTAGAAGTTCGTGATTTTTTGAATCAGGTATACCAGATACGCTGGATCGGAAGGGGTGGACGAATTGCATGGTCTCCACGGTCTCCCGATCTAAATCCTGTGGACTTCTTTTTATGGGGACACTTGAAAAACAAGAAATACCGTACTCCAGTTCAGAATATTGAAGAACTGCGTGACGGAATCACAGTGGCTGCCGATAATTTGAGCCTTCAGGTACAGCAGGAAGGAGGTGTATTTAAATTAGTGCGCCAAAATTGGATTAGACGCGCCGAAGCTTGCATTGCTATCAATGGAAACAATTTTGAACAGCTTTTATAAGTAAGTGAACTGTTAAACTGTATTGTTTTATTATCTCGATTTCTGTAGGACTTTTGTTACATTTTTTTATGAAATCAACTCCTTTCGTAACAGTGCATATGTGGTTAAATTTTGTCGGATAAGTTGTGAAACACCCTGAATGCAGCAGTCACGAAGAGAAAACCGACATAATGGAGTATGAGAAATAGTATAATAAAGATGCTAAAAACATCTTGTTGAAACGAGTTTTCGACTATCTGAGTATAAAAATAGCAGTCGGAAAAGTTTTCTTGGTAGTATTTTCTGCATAGTCTACACGATGAGTATTTTTCAGGTCTAAGAATCACTTTAAATATACTTTATCATAACATAGTAGTTTGTTTTTATACGATTTTCTTAAATATTGAAATATGAAAA